AGAATTTCCTAAGGTTCCCCATAAATGTGTGCAAAAAAGGGAAAAAAAAGCCACTTTCACCACATTTGCTTACAAAATGACCCAAAATGTGAGAGACAGGAGGGAGGGAGAGAAGGAAAACAGGGAAGTGAAGGAGGGAGAAAACAAGGGGACAAGGAGGAAAGATATAAAGAACAAACATGGAGTGGGCAGGAGCTGAGACCTGAGGGCCGGGCCAGAGGGAGGCTGGAGGCTGGGTCAGGGCAGGCTGCAGGGCACAGAGACCAGCCACCGCCCCCTCCCTAAAAGGAGTCAGCTCCTAGCAGTGGTCATCAGGAACTCGCCACTGTGGGCCTCGGACAGTTCCCGTGCCAAGAAAGTCCGTGTGATCTCCCTACTGCAGACTCATCCTGAAGTCGGATCCGTCCTCACGACCAGTCCTCAGGGCTTTTCTGACAAACTCCACTTCTTTCATTACAGGCAGGAGGAGGGAAGGGGTCAGACCCAGAGACTGGGGATGGAGGGAGAGGAAAGGATGAAAGAGGAATGAGAGAAGAGATGAGAGATGAGAAGAGGAAAAAGGAGAAGGGAGAAAAGACAGTGGTTCTCACACTGACTGAGGGAAGGTGGGCATATTAGACACTGACAGCTTCCTGCTGGGGGCAGACGCTGCCCACCTGCAGCTGCTCCCACGGCTCCAGGCCTTTGGGGGCTTCTGAAGGGGGAAGCCAGGCCTGAAGCTGGCCTAAAGCCCTGCCTGTCCCACAGGGGACCTCAGAGGCCTCCTAGGAGGTGTTTGCTTGGGGGAGCTCCCCTTGGCTGTTCATTTGATTGGGATGGAGAGGAACAGCCTTGGGATGAGCACCTTTTATCTCACATCCTGTATTACAATCCCTGGGACCCAGTCTGGCACTGGCCAAGAACAGTATGGGGGGCTGAGGACAACTTCAGGGGCCACGTGACTTGTTTCCAGTCATTGACTTCCAAGATCCAAGTTCTGCTCAGTCCTCCAGGAATAACCCAGCACCGTCCACAGAATCTGCTGCCCCACAGGCTAGGGGGAATGTTAGGCCCGATCAGAGGGATCATTTAGAGAAAGCCCTCCCTGGAAATGGAGCATTTCAAAATGTGCCAGGGGGACCTCTCTGCTGGCCTCTGGCTCCTGTTCTGACACCCCTCATCATCTTGAGTCTTCGGCACCTGCCTCTAGGCTCTAATCAAGTGGCTTCTGCCATCTATGTGGACCTGTGCAGACTGCCAAGCCTGAGGCCAGATGCCCCCATGAAGCTTGCTGGGGAGACTGGGCAGACGCTCCATAGTGGAGACTTTGTCTTGGGAGCAGTGGGTGCGGAAGAACCATGGCAGCTTCTCTGGGCTGCTGGGCATCCCTCCATTTGCCAGTTGGGGGCACTGATGCCAGTCTGCTCTGCCAGGTGCTGGAGGTCTCAGTACAGGCACAGATAATGCCAGTCTTATCCATGGAGTGGGGGTAGGGTGGGGGTGTCAACCACATATCTATTGGGGAAAAAAAAGCTTAACAATTTATCTTTCTAGAGCAAGACTTATTTTTTTCTTTTAAAAAGAGAAATGGCAACTATCTACATACATAGGTGGGTTAATAGCAGGAGAATGGGTTTGTTTTGTGTTGGGAGAGGGTCCATGGATGGGGAAGGGCTGAGAGAGCATGGTCTATGTATAGGTGGGTTCTCCCTCCTGAGCCTTGATCTTGGTATCTCTTCTGTCCTGTGAGAGGGCCCTGAGGAGCCCAAGAGCGGATGGGGGGCCCTCCTCCTCCCACCTGACTCCTTAGTGGCACAGCTGTTTCCTCCACCCTGGAAGAATTGGGCCTGAGGCCAAACAGAAACTGGCCAGCTGCTGCTTCCTGCACAGGGCCCTTCAGTGCCCTCTGCTCCCCTGGGGGGCTACTCTCTGCCTCCATGCCTGAGGCTGACCAGGGCTGGCCCAGATCTTCAAACTGGGCTGCTGCGGGAGAGGTAAGCCTCCCTTCCTCTTGAAGGACAAAATGGATGCTTGAGGGCCCCTGGGACATAGGGATGAATGTTTGGGGCACTCTGGACCACGAGGCACCCTCTGCTGAGCAGCCAGTCCTGGTGCTGGCTGAGGGTGCCGCCCTAGGCCAGAGGACTCCGCTAATTCCACATGGCAGTCAAGGCCCCTGCTCATCCTTACCCAGGGGCCTAAGCCTTCAGAGTGGAGCCCTGCTCAGCCTCAGGGTCTGCTGGGGAGGGGCCTGGGTGGTTTTTTTCTTCCCTTGTTTTATAAAAGGTGATGGAAGTAGGGGGTGGGATTTTAATATAGCCAAGAGACAGGCAGAAGGAGTGAGAGACAGAGGGGCAGAGAGAAAGAGAGAGACAGAGGAAGGAAAAGAAAGAAAGAGAGAGACAGATGGGGGGAGAGAGGAGGGGAGAGAGGAAGGGAGAGAGAGAGAGAGAGAGAGAGAGAGAGAGAGAGAGAGAGAGAGAGAGAGAGAGAGAGAGAGAGAGAGAGAGAGAGAGAGAGAGAGAGAGAGAGAAATCTCCGCCCTCCCCAGCAGCAAGTTTGCAGCTGACAAAAGCGATTAAGAATTCTGTTTAATGAGTCTGTCCTCCCACTAATAAAAACTGGAAATGCCAGGGAGGTGTCTCTGTCACTGCTTGCTGATGCTCAATTAGAGCTCCTCCGCCAGCAGCCGCAGTGCGTGCTCCTCAAGGGCCTTCAAGTGCCTGTGGTTGTTTATGGCCAGCTCTTCTCTGCAGCCCCAGCTCCCAGGGGGGCTCCCTCCTCCCTCCTCCCACATTGTCCCGGCCCCCTGGGCTGCTATATCCCAGGGCCCCAGAGGCTGGGGAGGAGGGATGGGAGCCCACGGTGCCTGACCTCTCGGGAAGGCCAGGGTGGGGACACTAATGAGGGTGCTGACTGACTGAGCATCTTCCTCACACCGGCCAGGCTGGTGACTCAGACGCCTGCCTTCCCAGAGACAAGCAGGCCGGCCTGGCTCATCGGGATTTCTGCTCCAAGTTTCCTCAAGGTGCTGTCAGGGACGGGCCCCAGAGGCCCAGGTGATGGCCTGTCCTCCCAGCCCTTCTCTAGTGAGTAGCAGCAGCGTGCTTCTGGAGGTGTCCCAGCAGGGCCAGGAAGGAGCCAACTGGTGGCCCAATTCCTCTGAGAGTCTGGGGCACACGGCCCCTGCTCGCTGAGGGGAAGGGGTTGTTTTGACCAATCTGGGGGCCAGGTCAGAGGCTGGCTTCTGGTGGGAATCTAGCTTCATTGTGGAGAACTGCAGGCACCCGCTGAAAGAGGGCCAGGGCCACTGGTGATACTGACCCCGATCTGGCCAGGGCCGCTCCGGCCCAAGAGATGCCTTTTCAAGTGTGGGGGAAGGGACTGAGGAAGGACAGTTAACTTTTTTCCAACCTGCTGCAAGGTCTGGCCTCTCTAGCTGTCACTTTTTTAAGGAAGGAGAGAAAGCTTTGGGGGACAGTTCCCTTTGTTACCTGTCCAACAAGATCAAGTAACAGACTGAAAGAAAGAAAATGTCCACAGAGTTCCAGTCTCCAAGAACAAAGAGGGGGCTGCCTCCTCTCCCCCCAAAACCAACCAAGACACCCCATTTCTGGGACCCTGGCAGACAGCTGCTCGTGGGGCAGAGCCCTGCCAACCAGATATACAGAAACATGCTGCCCATGAGCTACCTCGAATCAGGTGGCCAAGCTGAGAGGGAGAGGGAGGGAGGGGGAGAGAGGGAGGGGAGAGAGGGAGGGGGAGAGAGGGAGAGAGAATGAGAGAGTGTGTGTGTCACAGGGAGGGGGGCAAACTTCAAATTCCACTTAGATTGGGTTGATCACCCAGCAAACTGTAAAGGCCTGTGTCTAGGATGCAAGACCTTGCCTCTCGGGCACCCACTGGGAGTGTGAGGGAGGGACAGGATAGGTTTTGTGTTCACCCTGACTGTGGTCCAAGGCATAGAAGGAAATGCACCCAAGGGAGGAGGTCTGGAGGAGACTTGGGCAGAGCTCAGCACCCCTCTCCTCCAGCAGGGCTCAGGGCCGTGTTCTTGGGCTGTGTGTCAGGGGCATGGTAGCCACTGGCTCCTTGGGGCAAGCTCCCACAAGGCGCCGGGGCTTTTGACTGGTGACTTTTCATGCCCTCCATCCCTTCCCCTCGGTTAGCAGGAGTCTGGGACCTGCACAGGTCAGCTGGTCCACTGGGGACACAAGCCCTTGGCATCTAAGACAGTAACCCTTCCTCCTGGATTCAGCTTGGGTTCTTCTTCTACCCTGGGCTGATATCAAGGCCTTAACATTTGGATGGAAGAGTCTAGGTGTGGGCAGAGGGAGCTGCGACAGGGCCTTGGGAGGCCAGAGGGGCAAGGGAACTGGACGAGATGGAAACCCTGAGGCAAGCCCGCCGAGATCTAGCTTTGAAATGCAGACACATCGTGTCCCAGACCCACTGCTGCTCAAGGGTGCCATCTTAGCCACATCTGCCCGTGCAGAGGCCAGTTCCTCTCTCTGTCTCATCCCTTCCTTGCCCTGCCCTGGCCTTCCTTAGCACGGTGTGTAGATGGAGACCGCAGACTGCCTACTGAGAATTCTGTGGCCTTGGGGGAGGGGCCCAGGAAGCACTACCTGGACTCCCCTGGAGGCCACTGCCCCAGGCTCTCCTCTTCCTTGGATTAGAAACCAAAGCACAGCTCTAAGGAGAAAGGCCTGCCCGACCCTGTGGCATCTCTTCCTCCAGGTCCCAGCCTGTTGGGGGGGGAGGCAGAAGGTAGTTAGGCTGAGACCCAGGAGCAGTGCCACGCATGCAGTGACATCACAGCCCTCGAATCCTGACATAGCCAGTCCTCCCTCTCTTCCTCCCTCCATCTGTCTCTGCTCCGGGAGGAGGTTTCATGGATACTGTACAGAAGGTGATTAAAAAAAAAACAACAAAAACCACATATTCTCTTTGAAGAAGAATCCAAGCATGTAGAGCCCCGCCCTCATGAGTGGTGGCTGCTGATAAGTCCTCGGAGCTGCCTGGCCACGGTGTCAATCAGTTTCTGCTTGTCTCGCTCATTCTTCCGAAACTGTGCAAACACATTGTTCTTACGGCTGGTGTCCTTCATCCTAGGTAGAGGGGAGGACAGAGGGCAGGGAGTCAGAGGGCACTCTGACAGTGTCAGAAGGGCTCCCCAAGGAAACACCCGCGAAGCCCACTCTGAGGGTCCCCCTGGCAGGGTGCGCCGTCACCCTCCCCACGGTTAGCTCGCCTCTCCTTGGTTTCTTTGTTTGGGTGGCTGGGACATGAACCCGGGGGAAGGGCTGGGGCTCAAACTTTCTGGGAACCTGGACACAGGAAACAGGTCAGGGAGAGCCCAGTGACCTTGAACTCTTGACTAACCGTGGTCTTAGGAGCAGGGACAAGAACCAGAGGGAATCCCAGAATGTCTGCCCCCTTCCCCACACTATCAGTCAGAGCCAGTAAGCAGCAACCAGAAGGAGGGGTCTCCATGGGAAGCAATTGTGGGGAGGCAAGAAAGGATAGAAAGCAAAGTTATAGGGGGGAGAATGAAAAGGAGGAAAAGGTGGAGGAGAAACCCAGAGTTACTCCACCCCTCTATTCTAGATCACCCAGGGCTCTAACCGGGCAGCCCTTTCCAGTCTACCTCTGCACTCGAGGCTGACGCCTCTGGGGACCTTTCCATCATTAAATAAATGGTTCCTAACTCATGAGGATGGCATTTCACCTGGCACTGGGTTCCAGCATCCAACAGTGATCCCGTGGTAGCCAAGAAAGGTAATGTGAGGATTGTGGGCTGCAGGCCGAGGGGCTGGGGGGCTTGGAACAGAGATCCTAGGATGGAGAAGGGCAGTGTCCCACTGGCCTCCTTCCTGATCAGATCACACCAGGAGGCTGCTGGCCATTTGGGAACTCCACTGTGAACAGGACATAGATAAACTGAAGAGACGGTGGTGGTGGGCTCTACGAGGATTGGTTAAACTGCTCCACAAAGAGAGACTTGGGAGACATAAGACTCTTGTCTTCAAGGCCCTAAGAGGCTTTAGTGTGGAAAAGAGACCATGTTTGTTTTTGTTGGCCCAAGACGGCAGAACTGGGGACAATGGGTGGAAGCTGCAGGGACCCATTATGGAGCAGGCTGGCTGGGGAGGGAGGGATAGAGCACCCCTTTACTGGAGCTGCCAGCCAGGGCTGGGGGGCACTCCTTAGTTCTGCTGTAGGAGGGATGCTTCTGGATTAGAGGCCCCGAAGGACCCCTCCGGTCTTGGTATTGAGGGCCTCTAGCAAAGTCCAGCCTGGCCCAGGGTGGGGGAGGGGGGGTTCTCACTGAAGGCTCAGACAAAGCCGTAGGGCCACGGGAGCTAGGAACACTCATCCCTCTCGTAGACCTTAGTCTGAGCTGCTGGCAGATGGAAAGAAAACACCAACATGTCCTCTCTGGGACCCTGAGGTTGCTGGGCCCAGGCTGCTGCCCCAGAGGACGCTGCCCTCCCCTTATGGCACATGGCCTAAGGACAAAGAAGCATACTTCCTCTTCAGAGTGCTTTCCTCCAGACAGCCTGAGCAGAGGCAAACCAGCAGTGCTCGCCCCGATGCGGAGCCTTGAAGGTTGGGGCCGGAGAGGCTCATCCAGCCCTGAGGTGGGGTCAGGGCCTGGGCCTCCTAGGACGCCCCTTCCTGAGCTCCTTGGAGCCAAGCTGCTCCTGGCTTAGGTCACGGTCATGCTGTCTGGATTTCAACAAGATGAGGTTCGGCTCTGGAGAAAGACGGCTGAGACGGATCCTGAGCCTCTGGGCCAACAGTCTCTGCAGCTCCTCTGGGTGGGGTCTGACTAGACTCACTCTGGAGGGGAAGGAGGTGGGGAAGTGACTTGTGAAAGAAGGTGTGCGCATGTGTGTGTGTGTGTGTGTGTGTGTGTGTGTGTGCGCGCACGCGCGCGCATGCACGTATATGCGTGCAGAAGCTTCTATAGTGGGAACGTTTCAGGAGGACCCAGAGGACCCTTTCCTGGGGAGTGACTGCCTTGGACTGAGAAGCAGCTCACCCCCAAGCGTCCAGTCACTTGACTCTCCGGAGCAGTGAGCCGCTCCTCTCTTGCATGTGCTCAGACAGCTGTGAGGGACTCGTTTCCCAGGACACTGGCATTCAGAGCTGGACGGGGTCTTGGAGATCACCTAGCCCGACTGCTTTATCTCCCAAGGAGGACAGTCATGATCAGGCAGGGCCAGTGACTGAGGTGGCAGCAGCAGGGTGCTTCTGAAGCCGGATCCTTTCACCCCCAATCCTGAGGTCTTTCCATTGCACCGTATACCATGTATTCTAATGAGGTTGTGGGATTCTCTGGGAGTGTCAAGAGCCCTGCTGCCCATGGGGGAGGCTTCAGTCAATCAATTCAGCTTGTGGGTTTCAGGGCCTCGGACAATAGGTGGCACAGTGGGTGCAATGCTGGGCCTGCAGCCAGGAAGAGCTGAGTTCAAATCTGGCTGCAGACACTCACTGGCTGTGTGACTCTGGGGACCTCAGTTGACCTCTGCTGGCCTGTTTCCTGAGACAGAGGCAACAACAGCATCTGCCTGGCAGGGTTGTTGAGATAATATTTGTAAAGCGCTTTGCAAACCTTAAGGGGCTCTACAAATGCGATCGCCATCATCTTCACGTCATTATTATTTCAGGTGACTCCAGGTCACCAGGCAGGGGTCTCGGGGCAGGGCAGCAGCCCGTACTGCTTTCTCATGACCAGCTCAAGGTTCGGGGGCGCTGCTTTGGGGTCCTCACTCTTCAGAGCTCCATCTGGAGCTGCTTCCACCAAGCAAAGCTTTCCCTTAGGGGCCCAATTTCATATCTCAGAGTCCCTTGTTCCCCAAGTAGCCCCTCAGAGGAGGGAAGAAGGTCACAGGGAGGAAGAATGGTACAGAAGTTGCTGGCCAATCAGTGCCTGGCCAGCTCAGGGGATTAGTATGTTAGCTGGGATTGAGAGGCTTCCCAGTGAGGTCATTAAGGGAAAGGAAGAAAGCAAGAAGCCTTGGTGCCAGGGAGAGGGCACAGGCCCAGCTGACTCTACTTACTCTCTGGATATCCCGGGTGAGGGAAGAACCACAAAGACACCATTACAATGGCAAAGAGGGTGGACAGCTTTCCCTTATGGCCGGCAGAACCTGACTGGACCTGACCAAAGAGTCCAAAGCCCCCAGGCCCAGGCTTGGCCAGAGACCCTCCTAAGCAGTTGAGCTTTCCTTAGGACAGAGGTGTGCTGATGGGACTGTGCCTAGCAGCACACGCTTGAACATGCTGGTCCAGCTCCAGGACAGGGGCCTCAAAGAAGGAGGCCAAATGCAACCTCAGCCCCAGAGTCCCGTTAGTGCTGGCCTAGATGATGCCCCTACTCATCCCCCTGACTGACTCGAGCCCTCCTGGGCAGCCTGGCCTGACCCTGGCACTCTTGAAGACCAATGCCTGCCACTTTTTCTAGGCCCAGCCGCACAATGAAGAGTCACTGGTAAGACCGTCCTGGAGGAGTCTCTGGCAACAGCAAGAGGGCACGGGGGCTGCCATGAACGTGACGCTGAGGGCTTTCTTGCTGCGGACACGTCTGGCAGGCCTTCCACAGCAGGGGGCTGAGGCAGAGACTGAGGCAGGACAAGACGCTGCAGGCCACAGTGAGGCCCTCTGGAGCTAGCTCAGCTGGACTTCCAATGGAGTCAGTATGGATAGGCAGAGCACATACGAACAAAGTTCTTCAGGGTCCTCCATGATTTTTTAAGAGTTTTAAAGATTCTGAGCCCAAAACATCTGGGAACCTCTGCCTTGAAGCAAGGCCACATCCTCTGGGAAGGGCTGTCCAGGCTGTCTGTGGGGCTCCCTCTCACCTCCTCAGCAGGCCAGGGGACAGCTTTCCTCCACTGACCAGGCTCTCTAAATACCCTGTCCTCTGACTACCGATGGGCCCACAGGTCTGCCTAGCAGGGGAAGCAGCAGTCCTGGGTTTGGGACAGTGCTCAGCACCTTAGGGACAATATTTCTGGAGGAGGCAGGCCTAAGGGGCCTGATCCAGGGCCCGGCCACTTCCCAGACACACAGCTTTTCTCTGCCCTTCCAAAGGCCTGGAAAGGGCCATGTTTTTCAAGGGACAGAAACTAGCTCCCCCCTTTTCCTTTGATTGGCCTCCACGGGCAGCTGCTACTAGGAAGGCCTGCATGGGGCCAGTCTGCCTGCCCTATCTTTCCTCTCTATGGCCCACACCACAGGCCTCCCAAGGTGTACTCACTTTTCGAGCAGGGCCAGGGCTGTCACTGGGTTGACACGCAGATATTTGCAAGTAGGTTGGCCATAGTCAGCGAGGTATGTTGACCAGTCCCACTGGGTGAAGAGATCCAAGAGCTGCAAAACACGCATGGCCCGGGGGTTAATCACAAGTGATTATAATAATAATCTCTCCAGCCTCCCTGCAACCAGCAGCCAGGACAAATGGTGACATTAGCACACAGAGAGCATCCTCCAGTCATCGAAGAAGGACGACTGTGAAGTTGGCGGGACCAGACTATCGCTGCCATTGGGAGGATGTCCCCAGTGCCAAGCACACAGTAGGTGCTTCATAAGTGCCAGACGACTTGTCTGGTGACAGGTGAGGATCAAAGAATGACAGCAACAGATTCCTCGACCAGCATCCAGATGTCTGTCCCCTAGGGGTTAAGGCAGTGGGTCTGGGGGCAGGACATCACGCACTCCCCGGGGCTTTGGGCTGTTGCCCCGTTTCTTCATCTGTAAAATGAGTGTTGGACTAGACTGCCTCTGAGACCCTTTCCATCTCTGGATCTAAGATCCTATGAAGAGCGGGTTGTGAGCCCTCTGAAGCACGTATGCTCTTTAAGGTAGGGCACCAAGGAAGGAAGGGGGGAGGAAGTGAGAAAGGGAAGTAAGAAGGAAGAAAGAGAGAGAGGGAGGGAGGGAAAGAAGGATTTAGTAAGCACCTACTATGTGTCAGGCACTGTGCTAAACAAATAGTATCTCATTTAATTCTCACAACAGCCTTGTAAGGTAGGTACTATTGTTATCCTATTTTACAGATGAGGAAACTGAGGCAACCGGGGTCAAGTGAGTTACCTACAGTCACACAGCTAGTAAGTTTTTGAGGCTGGATTTGAACTCAGGTCTTCCTGAGTCCTGGCCCTGTGTTCTATCCAAGCCACCCAGCTGCCTCTAATACCAAATAAAGTCTTAACTTGAAAACATTTACTTATTTTTTTTACTGATGCCTCTTGTCTTTACATCATAACTATTTCAGTTCTCCCCTGCTGTGATTGAATCATCTCATCACAAAGCAAAACAATGAAGCAAAAATCCCCCAAATGGGGACATGACAGAAATTCACAATTTCTTATACGTCTTTCCTGCTCCTTTAAAATACTGAAATAGTTAAGTTTGTTGATGCTTGTTAAGTTTGCAATAAAAAGAATTTAAATTAACAAAACCATTAGTAACTCTGACAACGTATATACAACATGCTGTCCTAGCAATTCCCTGCCAATCTAAGAACAGTTCAAGAAGAAATACAATCTCACAAGAAGAACTGTAAATTATTAACAACCATATGAAAGAATATTTCCAATTGCTAATATTAGGAGAGATGCAAATTAAAATGACTCTTGAATTTCTGCCACATATGCAGCAAATTGGCAAAGACAACAGAAGTACAGAATAGCCAGTGTTGGAGGGCTTATGGAAAGATGATCCCACTGTGAGCTGGTCCAACCACTCTGGAAATCCATTTGAAATTATGCTAAGAAAATGGCTACAATGTCCATAACCTTCTTTTGACCCAGAGGTTGCAATGCTAGGCATATAGCTCAAGGATGTCAATGATGAAAAAAAAAGGCCTTATATACACCAAAATATTTATAGCAGAACTTTGTATAGCTTTGTTTAAAAAATCCAAAATAGAGGTCCACTGACTAGGGAATGGTTAAATAAGTTATGCACGAATGTAACAGAACACTACTACAATGACATGAAATGAGGAATATGAGGAATTCATTTTCTTTCCATTAAACATCTTTCATTCAATTTTATTTTATTTTAAATTTTGAATTCTCTCCCACCTACTGAGAAGGCAAGGAAAAACCAAAGCCATTACAAATATGTAGAGTTATATATAAAAAAAGTTCTTCAGTAGCCATGTTTGAAAAAAGAAAGAAGGGAAAATATGCCTTAATCTGTACTCAGAGGCCACTGCTTCCTCATCCAGAGCAGGGCAGCAGATTTCATCACAAATCCTTTGGAACAGATACTATCACTTGCTCAGCCATTCCCCAATGGAGGGGCATACCCTAAGTTTCCATTGCTTAGCCACCACAAAAATAGCTGCTATGGATATTTTTGTATGTATGGGTCCTCTACCTCTTTCTCTGATCTTTTTGAGTAGCAGCACAAATGATCTCCATTGTAGGAACACAGAAAATAGCTAGGAGTCACTCAGCGGGACTTTGATGTGTCCCGTTATGGGTACCAGCCCACACCTGCCATGCCATGGGTCCTGGTTTTATCAGCTGCCTCTCCCATGAGGTACTTCCACCCAGAGAAGGGCAGGAGAGTTTGGGGCTGGGATTGGCTTTTCCCAGGATGAGTTCACAGCACACGTCAGGCATTGACATAGCCTTGAAACAGGAGGTGGCACCCACCATGCTTTGTCAATGAAAAGCTCAGCTAAGAGGCCTTCCCCCAAAGGGCCTCTTGGAATCCTCCAGCTGAACTGAATAATTCAATTTCTTATTCCTGACCTCATCTCTGCCCCTTGGCTTCTTTCAGATACCAGCTAAAATCCTACCTCCTATGAAACCTTTCCTGATCCCCTTAATGTTAGTGCCTTCCTTCTGCTGATTATCTCCAATCACCTTGTCAATAGCTTGTTTGTAAATAATTATTTCCATGTTTTTTCCTCCGTTACACTGTGAGCTTGAGACCAGGGACTGTTTTTTGCCTTTCTATGTATCCTTGGTGCTCAGCATAGGACCTGGCACAGAGCAGGCCCTTAACACATTCTAGTTGACTTATAGACCAGACAGAGTCAGAAATCATCAAATGAAGAAGCCATCTCTGTTACAGAAAGCCTCTGTACAATTCGATCCTAGGCATCATCTAATCCAATTGCTCCTCTCTAGAGAAGAGGAAACTGAGAAGATCCCAGAAGGGACAGTATCCCAGACGCAGATGCCAAGACAAGAGAAGGCGTCTAGAAGGCTAGGAGAAGAGGGTGGTCAACAGCAGTAAAAAGTTACATCAAAGTTAAGAATAATGATGATTGAGAAAAGGCTACCTGACTTAGCGGTCAAGAGATCAGAGACAACTTTGACAGAGCTGCTTCAGTAGAGCGATAGACTGGGGCGGGAGAAGGGAATAACAGTTACACAGCACATGCTACGTGCCAGGCCCTGTTGCTAAATGCCTTACAAATGTATCATCTGATCCTCACCACAAGCTTGGGAGGTGGGTGCTGTTGTTGTCCTTATTAGATTCAGCTGAGGAAACTGAGGCCAAGCAAGGTGCAGTGACTTGCTCAAAGTCACCCAACTCAGGTCTTCCTGACTCCCCAGAAGTCTACACGCTATGTCACCTTGTTCCCTGATGGGTGAGCTCAGAAGCCAGATTACAAAAGGGCTGAGAGGAGTGTTTGGTGAAGTGGTAGAAGGTAGTGAAGACCACTCTCTAATGGCAGTTTATGAAAGCTTGAGAGGATGGCAGAATCAAGTGAAGGATTTTTTTTTTTAAGGATGGAGCAATGACCAATGGACGTCCATAGAGAATAAGGAAGGAGCCAGAAGAGAAGGACAGACAGAGGAGATCTGACCAAAGACACGAGTGAGAGGGATTCGCTTTGGGAGGAGAAGGGACACCCCACCCCCAAGACTGGAGCAAAGGCATGCATACACTGAAGGGACGAAGGAAGATGGAAGAATTCATAATGGATGGCTTGACTTGACTTTTTTTCTTTTAACAAATGAAGCAGGAGGTGAAGTCATCTGCTGAGAGGAAAGGATATGGGTGATATAAGGGGCTTAAAGAGAAGGCCTGGAATAGCTGAACCCCTGTGGAAGAGCTGAGAGAGTGACACACAGTGAGACAGTACATGTAAAGCACTCAGCACAGTGCCTGGCACATAGACTGCTACAGAAATGGGAGTTATTGTTGTTGTAACTCTTTCCCCTGGCCTGCTTTCTTGCATTCCTGTCCTGGAAGTTTTTGGTGCTCTCAGACTCTTCTTCCCTGAAGAATGTTCTCTCAAACTTCTTGGGTCACGGTTCTGGAAGGAGACAGTCTGCTGGTCATACCCTTGCTTGTTAAATCTTTCTGAGCTCTATGACTGGTGACTGACCAGTGGAAAAGCACAGATCCAGGGTGTACCTTGTAGAGGGGGTACTCTCACAGGCTGATAATGGTGAAGTCCTATGTGAGTAACCCAAACTCATTCCTAGAATGATTGGGCCTGACAGGGATTTTGATGCCTCATCCCTGGGGCCAAGAAAGGGAGTCCTCCAGCCCAGCATACTGAACAGGAGTAGGGGAGGAAGGATGGATTCTCCCACTCTGGAGGATGGCTACACTAAGCGGCATCCTGGACCACTCAGTGATGTGGACTCCATCCATGGATGCCATCAGGTCTTTCTTGGACCCAAGGAAATGGGAATCCTAGCCCCTCACCATGCCAAGCCTCCAACACTCTCCTGCAGACAGGCTCCAAGAGGCAGGGAAGGGCAGAGCTTGTCATCCAATCACACAGATCAGAAAAGGGAGACCCAGAGAGGAAACATGTCTGGTCTATGGTCACACAGCTAGTCCAGGAAGAGCCGATGGTCTCACTCTATTCTGCTGCTCCCCTTCAGATGAAAAAACACCACCTGGTGACTAACAGCGTGCTGCACGATGTTTGGGCAATCACAAGCACCTCACGGGAGGAGAAAAGACAGAGTCTGAGCACTCACAGGCACTGGGGTCCAGGCTGCACTGGAGCCCTCCACACCTCTGGATGACCTCTGGGGATGACTCATGACAACCCTCCACCTTTGGGGTTCCAGGCATGCCAGATAATCCTACTGGGGCTAAGGCCAGCCAGATAAACCCACGTTATCGCCTGCGGAGAACTCACCCGCCTTTGTGTTTCCTGCTGTTAAGCCTGGCTCTGGAGCTGGGTGATTAACTGCTCTGAGCTTAATCGGTGGGGAGGGTACTGCATCCTGAGGGCCCAGCCCTGCCCCTTTGGGAAGGGATCTCCTGGAAAATGCCCTTTCCCACAGTGAGTAGCTGACTCGTGGGCACTGGGGCATCCAGGACTCAACTCCACCCACTTGTCACAGCAGGGCAGGAAGCTGCTACTAGACAGAGGAAAT